CTATGTATTTTTTTTACACAAATTGATTTTTCTCTTTATTTTATGCAAAAAAATATTTAGATAAGATAATCGAAACATAAATATTTTACGAAACATTTCACAGTTTATGCAAAATTATTAAATTAAGGTATAAAATATCTCGTAAACTATTCAAACTAAAAGTTAAACTATTCAATTTCTTATTTTATCTTTCTAATTTTTTACACTAAATATTGTGGGAAATCGATTTATGTAAAACAATCAGGATTTCATTTAAAAAATAAGATTAACTTTTACATGACTTTGGCATCTACATTCAAGACTAAATCAATTTTTATCTTTTTTTCCTTTGTAACAAACAATTTTTATATATTTAAAACATTTTTTTAATATGAAAAAACACAGATATTTGGAGTGCTTCAGATAAATTCAATATTTTGTATAAAATTGCACATTTTTATGCAATAGCTGACAAGATTGAAGGACAGAGACATGTGTAGTTAGATACTTTATACGTCACATAATATTTTAAAAAGATATGATGTAGGAAAAATAGAAAATGAGAATATGACAACTATTTCATACTCTGCAACTTCTTTTGGTAATTATACATAAAAAGGAGCCCGTCTTTCACAAGTGTATCATTGATATGTTATCATATCTTTGATTAACATTTTGAAGGTTTTAGCTGGCGGTCATTGTTTATTCAAAAATTATAAAGTTTGAGAAGTATACTATGTAATTTTCGTTAATCCAACTGAATTCATATAAAGAATTCATATAAAGATTCGATTAATTAGGTATAACAAAATTCCCACTCTTGTACAAATGTTGACATACTCGGTCTGGCTATAAAGTTTTAGTACTATCTCTACCAAAAATAGAAATAGTCATTATATCTTCAACATTATCATTTATTTTTCAATATGCAGGGTGTTTTGTTTTAATTTCCCCAAGCAAATATTTCGGAAAATAATGAAAAATCGAAAAAATGTTTCAGACAAAAGTTGTATGGTTTCAAGGGGGACATAAGATGGTGCCATTAGTTTGACCTTGAAGAGTCACGTGAAGGTCACCTCCAACTTTTTAAATTGGACACCCTATATATTTTTGCATATTCTTGTAGCTTATCTCGAAAGCTTTCCAAAACACTATAATTAAGTTAGTTTTCATTAAATACTTTCCGAGTTATGAGGCTTGAAATTATTTCTTAATTTTACATAAACCGTAAAATATCTTGTAAAATATTCATTTTTAAATTATCTTACCTTAATACTTTTATGTACAAAATAATGAGAGGAGTCAATTAGTGTAAAGAAAACACATAATTGTTTCGAAAAAAAAAATGTAATTGCAAATTCGAGATAAGCTACAAGAATATGCAAAAATATATAGGGTGTTCCATTTAAGAAATTCAAAATGACCTTCATGTAATCTTCATGTGATCAAACTAATGGCACCATCTTATGTCCCCCTAGAAACCATACAACTTTTGTCTGAAACATTTTTTCGATTTTTCATTATTTTCCGAAATATTTGCCTGGGGAAATTAAAATGAAATACCCTATATATCTCGTCTAATTCTACACAGAATTTGGCGCGCTTCTCCAACTCGTATAAGGTGTTTTGAAAATCCGAAACTGGGATGCTGTTTAATAGTCTAACGGTGCTTTGAATCTGTTTCATCAAATCGGCTTCTTTGGACTTTAGTTTAAGTTTAGAGGAAAGAAAATAGTCAGCCGGGACCAAATTTAGAGAATAGGGAAGAATGATAAAGCACAATTGTTTTTAGGTGCTAAAAAGTGACGAGACAAAACAAACACATCACACAAAACGGTTTGAATATAAACTGCACTCAACTAATATTGATAAAACTTAATTATACATAACATTTGTAATAATGTCTTCTACTGCATCCACGCATGCACTATGCAAACGAAGCAAAGTTCATTCTACATCTAATCTTAATCCTCACTAAGAATGAACTTTGTTTCGTTTTGCAACCTTATAATAAATTATTTTTTCATTAAATACTTTTCGACTTATAAGGCTTGAAATAATTTCTTAATTTTATATAAACCACAAAATATCTAATAATGTTTGAAAAATATTGAAATTCCGCGCCTACGCGGTTTCAAAATCAGCAACCCTGCATCCATCTTGACTTTTTCTCGGAAGAGGGCGCTTCTCCTTCTTCTTTGTTCTCCTCTCTTGAACACAAAGTAGGGATGGGCGATGTACGAAAAAAAAATCGATGCTAAATTAATCGATTTTTGAATATATCGACGTTCATTAATCGATTATTAACAAAAAGAATCGATGAATCGACTATTTTTCAAAAAGAGTGTTTTTTAAGGAGGAATTACACGAATCATCCATATCAAAAGTTAATACATCTAATACACTTTAATTCATAAATCTGACATTGCGCAAAGTACTTTTAACTTTCTTAAATATAAAATTACTATTTAATTTGTAAGTGGAAGCAAATATTTGGTTTGTAAAATTACAATTTGCATTTTTATGAATTTCTTTGTACAATCACTATAAAAAAGTTTGGTAAGTTTAATATAAGATGATATTAACAATTTTGAGATTATATTCTATAGATTAAATCTTTACCTTTAAAAATCTCATTGTAGACGACGCTTTATTACAATGAGATGTTTTGATAAGAAAAAAAATAAAACTTCGATGTCTGACATAAAGAATCGAACATCGATACATCGGATAAGGAAAATATCGAACCGATTAATCGATTATTAGAAAAAAAACTATCGACCATTGCGATTAATCGGTAAACATCGCCCATCCCTAACACAAAGTGATTCTCTCTCGTGTAGTCGTTCTTTATACGCAGTAGTGCTTTGTAAAGAATATCGCGCAAACGAGAATATTTTCGCTAGCTCAAAGGGAAGGAATCTACTACAGATACGAAGGACATCCTCTGGATGTTAACTCTCAACTGTGTCGTTCGTGAAATCAAGATTCAAGCAAGAGAGGCTTTGCTAAGCCGTGTTCGTCCGAGGGTCATTGGCTTCTCTCTCTCTCTCTCCTAGAAAGCTTTCGGCATCTAGGCAGACCCTATAGACAATCTTTGGATTTCACACTACAGATTAATGAACGATCTCGTGATTCTCTCTCTCTCTCATTTCAAGATTGACTCTCATTGTTTCTCTCTCTCTCACTCTCTATCTGAATTACGCTCAACGTTCTTTGTGTGCTCGAGCCGATGGTCAGAATCTTTGAAATACTGTACGGCTCATCTATCATTGGATTTGATTTATTTCTGCCTATGATATTACAAAATCATTGCTGTTATAATTCTATTCTTACATGTATTTAATTTAAGTTACTTCAAAAGAAATAATTCCAGCAAATTATTTCATTCAACCTTGTAACAACAGATTTATTTCATTAGTTTAATATATAAACGTTAAGATAATATAAGCGTTATTGATTTATTATTATTAATATTCTCTTTTTAATCGATTATACGTTGAAAATTTAGTCATTATATGAATTATCTTTAGTAAATTAAGATTTGATTTTTTTCCTGTCAGATTTTATTATTAATTTAGTAAACAAAGATATTATTATTGATTGATTTATCAAGACTATTTTCTTTTCTTCAACTCACGTCTCTTTTCTTACAGTTATTCATACAAATAAAATATTCATTTTTTGATTACTTTACCTTAATACTTTTATGTACAAAATAATGAGATAAATAAATTATAAGTATAAAGAAAAAACATAGGTATTTAAAAAAAAATATATATGTATATAATTGTTAATTGCAAATTACATATTTTTTTTTAAAAACAATTATGACATTATTCACGTCATTCAATTAAAGATGAGAAGCATATTATTCACATATACTATCTGTCTCTCTCTTCCTCTCTCTCCCCTCCCCCTCTCTCTCTGTCTAGAATGCTATTTAACAATATCCATAGTTAGTTGCATAGATACAGTATTAATAATTTTTTTGTAAAATTTTTATAATATCTTTTATATCTTTAATTTTTTCATAATAACTCTTATATTAAAGAAAGAAGAGATAGGAAAGAGAGGGAGGGGAGAGAGACTAATTTTATAAATACTTAGTTTTTGCGATATAAAACATTTCTTTTTTTTACATTATATTATTATTCCAGATATTTACAATTTTTAAGCAATCATTTTTTTACCCGAAAAGGCAATTTGGCAAAACATCAATTTTGTATTCAAATCAAATAAAAGTATGTAATCAAGCATATAAAATACGTGTAAAAAAGCAACTTTTCTAAAATTGTTTACATAAATTTACGAACAAGATAGTAGGACATTTCGAAAATTTTTTAAAAATTATAATTAAATGTTTATATACAATTTAATATTTATACAATTAAATATTTATATACAATTAAACGTTTATACAATACAAATAATGATGCCAGTGACAAATTTTAAACCTCAAATATATAAATTTTTTAAAAATTTGTAAAAAAACTTTAACTAGCACGAATCTAATTTTAAATGTTATTTTTATTTTTTCCAGATTGCATAATAATATGCATAATAGACTTTTGTTTTCTACGAAAATATAATATCTGAATAAGTCACGTTTAGACAATAATATATTGAATAATGCATTAAAATTTGTTACCATTCTTTATATTGAAACAACTTTTAGCATTATACTTTGATCATATTTTTTTAGGCAATTAATAATAATAAAATAATAAGATTTGTGACGTATTCTAAATTATATAAAGATCAGTGAATATAATCTTATTAAATTAATAAATTACAAGAATATATAAAATGTCAAATTTGAGATTAGATTATTTCTACATTAAAAATAATTTTGTTCATTAATATAATAATTGCATAATTTTACGCTAACTTTTAATTAATTATATCTACAATAGATGAAGGAAATAGCTTTTTGTATTGAATTAATTTAACATTAATAGTTGCATTCCTGAAAATATTATACACAATCTTGTTCTATATTTTTTTTTTCGAGTATAGGCTTTCAAAATTTCATAAAAGTGCTTTTTTGGGGGATAATTTAAATGAAATATTTCAATTTGTGAAATGTGAATATTCAATTCATATAGAGAATATACTTATATGGAATACACGTTCTCTCCTATGTTTTAAAATTTGGCAGATCTGCAACGAATAATCTGAATATTTTTTGTTGCAAGCTATTAATTAATTACACAATATGCTCCATTGTACTTTTCTGTCAGTCATCGGATGGTGGCCCATAAAAAATTAATTCGGGAATTTGTCCACCTTGTACACCGGTACCGTTAGTACTTTCGGAGCTACATTGAAACTGAAAGTTTACACTGCCGATCGTCGCTTCTGACATACCTTCTTGACCGAAAAAACTCAATTCTCCACCGTCCAATATTGCACTTGCCGTATACGAACATTCTGGTTCTATTTGTATCGGATTCTCAAAATACACATGAAACGTATTGCTCGAACCGTCAGAAAAAAATTTAGTATTGTTTTCTGCCAAAACATTCCCGAGCCTTTTCAACTCTATTTTAACATTGTAATCTGCAGCACCAGATGAACTTCCATATAAACCAAATCCCACCACAAATATTCTTTTATCAACGCTAAATTGAATCGAGTCGCAACGACCTCTGTACCGCCATTGATTTGATCTATATGCACAGGATTGAAATCTATGGCAAACCTGTGAATAACAGATATCCTTATTTATTCAAAATTATAACTAAAATAATATAGGATTATTGATTATTGTTAATTATATTAATAATACAATATACAGGGTGGCCCATTTTAATTCAGTCGAATATCTCGAAAATCAAGCCCGGGAAAGAAAAATGTTTCAGACAAAAGTTGTTTGGTTTCGAGGGGGCCATAAGATGGTACCATTGGTTTGACCTTGAAGAGTCATTTGAAGGTCATGCGAAGGTCAAAAAAATTAAAGCGACCTTTAAATGACTCTTCAAAGTCAAACCAATGGTACTATCTTATGGCCCCCTCCCTCGAAACCAAACAACTTTTGTCTGAAACATTTTTCTCTCCTGGACTTAGTTTTCGAGATATTCGACTGGATGGATTAAAATGGGTCACCCTGTATATAAATTTGCTTGACATGATGGTTATTTATCAAAAATAAAAAAGTACTTTCTGTGAATAGGATATGTTTTTATATTTGAAGGACATTGAATTTCTCATCTTTCTAAGCTTTCAAGCAAGCAAATTTATCATTTATTGTATTTATTATTTATTATTTGTTGTTACGTTTATTCAGTTACGTTTAGTCATCAATATAATTTATGAAAATTTTTGAAAGCTAATAGATTCATATGTGTACACATATATACATTAATATGACATTAGTAATTTTTTAATTGGATGTCTTATTTACAGAACTTATTACATTATCGATACTATTTAAAGTTTTATAATTTTTTCTCACTATTGAAATGACATAATACAAATGCGATCGAAAAAGAATACGAAATTTTTTATTACATTTTTCTATATAATATATTTACTTAGATTTTACTTACTTGAGTTTTTAATCCTTGACGTGATTTGATAGGAAAACAAAGTTGTGGCTTGTTACTAGCTGTGAAATGCAAAAATAAATCAATTGTTTCTTGATGCGTTAGAATTCCTATCTGTGCGGCATTGTTTGCGAACTCTTCTAGATTCATAGCAGGAAGTCTAATTAAATACAAGGCAGACCCTAAAAAAATATAGATATACACAGATACACTAGAGAGCTTATTTTAAATTGTATAATTCTAATACTTCTAATATTGTATATTTTTAATATTTTTGAAATTATTTATTTTTGAAAAAAATAATTTGCCAATAAAAGTTGTAAAAGAGATATCTTGCAGTCAATATAAAAAACGTTTTAGAAGTCTGAAGATTATTTCTATTGCACTTAAACTATGTTCATCACTCATACAAATATCTCCTTTATAACTCTTATTTATAAACCGGGTTTTTTTTTTTTCCAAAAATAAACATATATGAACATATGTGTGCGTGCACGTAAAGCATTCTTTTCTTACCTAATAATTTTCTTTGATTGACTGGAGTAGGCTCAAGATCTTGCCGTATACATTCCGCAGAAGCCCATCGTAATGCAGCATTCCATATATGAATTTCTTTGCAATTTAGTGTCTCTCGAGATAAGACAGATTCGAGTGTATGAATATCAATGTCCATAAATCCGTCGGATCTTAGTGCCATTTCTGCCTGTCATACAACAATTTTTACTTAATGTTTAGACTCAATTTTATATATTGCTACTAATTTTATTTTTTCGATTATTTTTATTTGCACTTTTGTAATCTAAAATTTATTTAAAAATATAATTTATAAATTTTCTTTAATAAAAATTATATATAATTATATGTTTTTTTACACATTCAAATAAAATTTTACAACAATATAATAATTATATCTTTTGATAATTAATAAGCATTAATTTATTTTTACTTTAATTAATATGGTATTTTTGCACACTGCATTAGAATTGATTTAATGTTATGAGTAAAATATTTCTGTATTAATATTAAAACATATTTCTGTTTGTTTATTTATATTAGTCTTAATTTATATTATACTTACAATAATGTTGCTTAATATATAAATATTAATATATAATATAAATTTAATATAAATCGTATCATATTTACATTATGAATAAATGTTGAGATATTATATGTGTGGCATTTATTTTATAGAAATAATGATGATAAATTTAATTTGTAAAATAGTAAATATCAAAATTTGATACATAAAAATGGAGAAAAACAAGATATACATTACTTCTACAATTTTATATTTATGTATTAGAGAGAATTTCATATATTGCTACAAGACTGATTTAGTGTAGTTATACATAATATTTCAACTATTTATTTTCACAAAGCTATTTTATTGAAATTATCTCGTCTTATTTCATTATTACACTTAATGTAATGTTTTATATGAAAAATCTGTTTAATAAATAATATACTATATAATTATATAATTTTTTAAATATAATTACATTAGCGTATAAATTTATAATATTGATAAAATTCATAAGTAAATAAAACGTGTGACGCGTTTAATATTAACACAATTGCCTGAAATAATATTGTAATAACAATTTTTTTAATTTCATACGTTTGTTTACATATATTATATTCCTAAAAAGTATTTATTGGAAAGAGTTTAAAATATATAGAAAGGAGATGTTCTACATATCATACTTTTTATTTACTTTTTATTTACTTTTACCTAAATTATAATAGATATTAATACGAATGTTTTTAAATAATCATATAAAATTAAATTAATAAAAATGGCAAATAAGAACCGATGTAGAATTTAGAGCAAAACTTTATTTTAAAATAAAAAATTACGCGCAGCAGGAGTGAGACACTTATACGAGAATCGACTAGTTGAGAATATCTTATTATCTGAATAACCATTCAATATATATAAATTGACTTCTTACTAGGTTTAATTTACAGCTTAAATTTAAAATATATAAAGAAAATGTTATTTTTATTATACATATTTTTTAAACGGAAATATCGTAATGAAAGTCAAAATGTGAAAATTTTTGTATAAAGAAATCTGTTAAGAATTCATTCCATATTTAAAAAATGTATAAATCCACCGAAAAATATATCTAATAGATATCTATCGAACATCTATATATCTACACAATGTCTACTACAGATAATTAGTAGATATCTAGATATATAAAATATCTACAGGGTGGCCCCGAACGTTCCAGCCAGACTTTGAGATCTTATAGGAAATTTAATTCTGAACAAAAAATTTCGTATAAACATGGGTCGAAAAATGCTTCCTTAAGAAGTTATCGCTCAAAAATCTCTGATGAAGGAAGAGCAAAAGGTGAAAAGAAAATGAAACTAAATAAATTTCTTCTAAAAAACGATAAAAATAAAAAAATAAAAATCTTTTTCTTTTATGAAAATAAAATAATTTTTTTTAACTAATTTTTTTTAACTATTTTAGTAATAGCATGTAATAGAAAATGAATAAAGACGTTTTTCAAGAAATTTATTTAGTTTCATTTTCTTTTTATTTCATTTTCTTTTCACCTTTTGCTCTTCCTTCATCAGAGGTTTTTGAGCGATAACTTCTTAAGGAAGCATTTTTCGATCCATGTTTATAAGAAATTTTTTGTTCAGAATTAAATTTCCTATAAGATCTCAAAATCTGGCTGGAACATTTGGGGCCACTCTGTATATCCCCGAATTAGTGGGGATATCTACTGGATGTGTATATATTATCTATATATCCATGGATACCCCATGAATATTCTATATCCTATTTATGAAATCTCGTATGGCGAACATTTGGATCCAGTATACAAATTATGTTCTGTATGGGCAGTGTTTAATACAAAATTGCGTTAGCGTTCAGTAGTCAAACATTTCTTATTTTTCTTTCTCTTACTCGCTCAATCGTTATGTCTTATTTTTTCTCGCTCTTTTCCAATTTCTCTCTCACTCTCTTTTGTTTTCTCTTGTTCTTTGTCAATTATCATTACATCAGCCATACTGACTGTATTATCTAAAAATGCATACAAATTTGTTGTATATTCTTATATCATTTTATTATGCAGTAAACACTGTTATATTGTAAAAGCAATATGTGGAATGTTACAAGTAATATACATAAGTAATATACATAAGTATTACCATTAAATTAATTGCAATTTCCCATTCAAAATTATAATATATAATATTACTGACAGAAAATAGATATACTTTGGATCTATGTAAGACCTTTATAGGCTTTATATTTCATGATGACAAACTGAATATGAATTAGTCTGGTTTATAACAAGTGTATAAACACATATATAACAATATTATTGTGCAATTCTGTTATATTATTATTGTAATGTTTCAAAAAATAATATATATATATATATATATATATATATATATATATAATTTTTATATTAATAAATAATATAACGCAAGACTCGTGATATAAAATTATATATATATATATATATATATATATATATATATATATACATAATTTTATATCACGAGTCTTGCGTTATATTATTTATTAATTTCACTTTACTGTAACAAATAGTATTTACTGGTATATTATCATCGTATAAACATGAGACATGTAAATTATATATCAAAACTGAGAAATGTATTGCGTATTTCTTCTTTGATTGTATATCCGCAATTTAATATATGATTTACAATACATTTCACATTTATATGATAATGATACACCGAGATGATATAAGAATACACACAACAAAAAAGTCTGTACATATCATACCAAATAATATTATACATAAATACTATATGATATTAAGATCTCAATTGGTCGGCTCGCGTATAGATTTGATAATTATAAAAAAAATGTTACGTAATAAAATATTTATATATATACGGGGTCTTCAAAAAGTTCCGGAACGCTAAAATATCTCGAAAACGATGAACTATAATGAAAAATATGTAAGGAAAAAAGTTGTAGGACTAAATAAAATGCACCTAATGATGATAAGAATTTAACCTTGGATGAAGTATTCAAGATCATATGAAGGTCAAGTTGATTATTATAACTAACTTATTATAACTAAAAGAAAAAATATGTAATTTGCAATTGACAATTAGATATTTTTTCTTTGAAACAACTCTTTGTTTTCTTTACACCAATTGATTCCTCTTATTATTTTGTACATAAAAGTATTAAGATAAGATAATCGAAAAATGAATATTTTACAAGATATTTTATGGTTTATATAAAATTAAGAAATGATTTCAAGCCTCATAACTCGAAAAGTACTCGATGAAAAAATATTTCTTTATAGTGTTTTGGAAAGCTCTCGAAATAAGCTACAAGAATATGCAAAAATATATAGGGTTCCATTTAAGAAATTTAAAATGACTTTCACGTAACCTTCATGTGACTCTTCAAGGTCAAACCAATGGTACCATCTTATGGCCCCCTCGAAACCAAACAACTTTTGTCTGAAACATTTTTCTCTCCTGGGTTTGGTTTTCGAGATATTCGACTGGATGGATCAAAATGGGCCACCCTGTATATTTATATATACACATACAGGACCAATAATTCTGTCCACCTGGAATATATCCGTTATTTTTAGAGATATAAAAATTTTGTACTTATAAAAGTTGTACGGTACCAAGAGGGCCGTAATATGCTACTAATAATTTTTTTTGTAAGTGGAGGCGCTTCAGAGATTTCAAGGTCATCTCCATTTTTTTAAATGGAACCCTACATTTTTTATTACCTATTCTTATAGCTTATCTCGAGAACTTTCCAAAACACTATAATAAAGTATTTCTTCATTGAGTACTTTTTGAGTTATGAGGGTTGAAATCATTTCTGAATTTTACATAAACCATAAAATATCTAGTAAAATATTCATTTTTCGATTATCTTACCTTAATACATTTATGTATTAAATTTTGTATATAAAAGTATTAAGGTGAGATAATAAAAAAATGAATATTTTACTAGATATTTTATATAAAATTAAGAAATTATTTCAAGCCTCATAACTCGAAAAGTACTCAATGAAGAAATATTTTATTATAGTGTTTTAGAAAGCTCTCGAGATAAACTATAAGAATAGGTAATAAAAAATGGGGGGTTCCATTAAAAAAAATGGAGATGACCTTGAAATCTCTGAAGCACCTCCGCCTACAAAAAAATTATTAGTAGCATATTACGGTGCTCTTGGTACCGTACAACTTTTATAAGTACAAAATTTTTGTATCTCTAAAAATAACGGAGATATTCCAGGTGGACAGAGTTATTGGTCCACCCTATATATATATTGTATAATCAAAACAATATTTTTTTTAGAAATTGTCTATGATCATAAGCAATTAGAAGCAATTCAATATGCATTAAAATCTATTGATTTTTATCCGTTTTCGCTTAGCTGATTATTTGATTAGGATTTGTTGCTATCCTAAGGACATCGTTGCGATTAATTTTACTATATTCATATTCATCTATCAAATTATCCTGATATGTGATATTTTGCGTGACCTCAACATGATCTAATTTATTATCCGAAAAGTAAGGCTCACTTCGTGTTCGGGAAAGTGAAAACGATAAATGCTCATCTGCGAGGATGTTTGTACAACAGTCATTTTCCGAGAGACTCAAGTAATGTGGCACTATTGATAATCTGCCCTTGAGACGTTCACAATTGTTGTCGCTCAATCCATTGTTGCCATATTGATTATTTTGATATAAAAAATTATCAAATTTACTATTGTAAACATAAGAATGTAAACTTGAAGCGCGATTGATTGAGTCGCTGGAGGGACTCGAATCATCTTCGAGCGTTTCGTCCAAATTCTTGTCATTCAAAGCAATGACTTTTAGTGGCTTTTGGATTTGACTTACTTGTGCATCGATCACTTCCCAACAACGTTGCATAAGATTAGGTTCTTCAAACAATCGAGATTGACTCAGAAGTAAACATGCGTTCTTTGCCGTCAAACTCGTTTCCAAATAATTGACGCATGCTCGTGCTAAGTGTGGAACTATGTATTTTTTTGCAACGTACAATGTGGCCAGAACTGTATCCGCTTCTAGTTGTACCTCGTCACAATACATATACCTTGAAAAAAGTTTATTATAATAATATGAATATATGTATATATATTTTTTTCTTCTAATCAAAGTGATAGATTTTTTCTTTAATTTATTTTTTTTTGACAAATAATACAGCATATAATGTAACTGGAGCAAAAGTCAAAATTTCTAAAATTTAAGAATTTATAATATATAAACGTATTTTATATTATTTATTTATATTTTCATTAACTTCTGATATTATATTTTTTCTGATTGGTACTTCTTCAAGTTATTCTGAGCTTATGCTTACTTTAATAGCGCGAGAAAGGCAGCAGGTTCAACATCAGGAACTTCAATGTCTCTTTTATTTTCTGGTAATCCTCCATAGAACATGGCATAAAATACAGAACTACCAGTAGCAAGAACATATTTATGTGCTGGTATTGTTTGCGTGTGACCTGTGATATGATAATTATGACATTAACATTTTGTTCCACGAGTGATAAAAAGTAAGAAAAAGAGAATAGATAAATACCTGGGCTGCCAACAATAAATATGATATCGGCCATGAGATGATTATTAAACATGGCCGCATTCCGTTCCCGAACTGTAGGTTTTGTTGCTTGCCAATTGGGATCCTGAGTGCAATCTCCGGGCGATGGTAAATTTAATTGCGTTATAGGCGATGATAAGCAAGACAAAGGCGATGCAGGAGCACTCAATGGTTGATTTATTGCATTGGTTCCTTCGCGTTGTAATACGATGGATGAAGAAAGTGGGCTAACTGACGGTGGTGAATCTGATGTATTGCTTGGGGATTCCACTAAAATAAAAGAAAAATTTGTGTTATATTAAATATACAGAGTGTCCCAAAAGTCCTGGACCGGTCGAATATTTCATAAACTATGCACTTTAGAAAGAAATGTTTCAGACAAAAGTTATATGGCTTGTAGGGGGCCATCAGATAGTGGCAATGATTTGACATGGGAGAGTCATTTGAAAGTCACGTGAAGATCACCGTCAATTTCTTAAATGGAACTCCCTATTTTTTATTACATATTCTTGTAGCTTATCTCGAGAACTTTCCAAAACACTATAATAAAGTATTTCTTCATTGAGTACTTTTTGAGTTATGAGGCTTAAAATCATTTCTTAATTTTACATAAACCATAAAATAGTAAAATATTCATTTTTCGATTATCTTATCTTAATGCTTTTATGTACAAAATAATGAGAGGAATCAATTAGTGTAAAGAAAACATACAGTTGTTTTTAAGAAAAAATATAAAATTGTTAATTGCAAATTACATATTTTTTTAAAACAACTATGTGTTTTCTTTACACCAATTGATTCCTCTCATTATTTTGTACAAGTATTACTCATTATTTTGTAAAAGTATTAAGATAAGATAATCGAAAAATGAATGTTTTACTATATATTTTATGGTTTATGCAAAATTAAGAAATGATTTCAAGCCTCATAACTCGAAAAGTACTCAATGAAGAAATACTTTATTATAGTGTTTTGGAAAGTTCTCGAGATAAGCTACAAGAATATGTAATAAAAAATAGGGAGTTCCATTTAAGAAATTGACGGTGATCTTCATGTAACTTTCAACTGACTCTCCCATGTCAAATCATTGCCACTATCTGATGGCCCCCTTCAAGCCATATAACTTTTCTGAAACATTTCTTTCTAAAGTGCATAGTTTATGAAATATTCGACCGGTCCGGGACTTTTGGGATACCCTGCATATATACAAAATTACTCGAAAAGATCTCCTCTATAACATATTTAAAAATGAAGCAAATTCGAGGGCCCCTTTTATGCATAAAAGCAAATTTTATGCATACCTGTAATTTTTTATTTATTTCTTGATAGAACATTTTAAAACATCTTGATATATGATATCAAGTTAATCAAAATCGCCTATGAAGAAAAAATAATTTATTTTAACGAAAAAGTTAAACACTGTTTTAGCTTATTGCTTCCAATACGTAGTGCTTTTATAGGTGTTCAAAATCATGATTTTGAGCATCAATATATGCCCTAAAACAATTATTTGTAAAAAATACTGCATTTTGAATTTTATTTATATCTGTAGAATACGTGCTCTTCTAATACACTCTTTCATATTTTTCTTAGATATTGATATCGTATAGTTGTTTTAGTTTGTTCCACAAATCGATGCTTAAAATTATCATTTTGATCATCTCTATTAACATTATGTATCTGAAACAATAAGATAAGGGAGTACATGATCTCTTTGTTAAAATAAGTTTTTTTTTCGTTGACTTTGATTAACCTTGTATCATATATCATTGTACACATCATAAAATATTCTGTTAAGGGGTAAATGAAAAAATATATTATTCCATTTAAAAAAATGATAATTTTGAAATGTTCTTGTCCCTCCAACGTTCAATCGAAGTCATATCATTTTCGTCCCCTTTGAAACAAAACAAATTTTGTCTGAAACATTTTCTGTTATTAAATATTAAGAAGTTATTTAGATGGCTTGTTTTAACCTTATCCTGTATATACATATATACAGGATAGGGATACTTAAAACAAGCCATCTAAATAACTTCTTAATATTACTTAATATTAATATATATATATATATATATATATATATATATATATATCATTTATATACATATTTTATATACAGGGTGGCAGGGAATTTTTGATCTTAACGAAGTAAGGAGGTAGATTAGCTCAAATTAAGAAGGAAGGACCTCTATTGTTTTGTGATTGTCGCAATAATTAACGAAAAATTAAATAAAGAATATATATATATATATATATATATATATATATATATACAGTGATTCATTTTAATCTTAACAGGCAAATATTTTGAACAATATGTGAGATACGAAAAAATGTTTCAGACAAAAGGTATATAGTTTTAAAGGAGACATAAGATGGTGTCATTAATTTGATCTTAAATAGTTACTTGAAGATCACGTGAAAGTCACCCTCAATTTTATAAATGGAACTGCCTATTTTTTATTACATATTCTTGTAGCTTATCTCAAGGGTTTTCCAAAACACTATAATTTAGTTTTCATTAAGTACTTTCCGAGTTATGAGGCTTGAAATTTCTTAATTTTACATAAACCGTAAAATATCTTGTAAAATATTCATTTTTCGATTACCTCACCTTAATACTTTTATGTAGAAAATAATAAGAGGAATCAATTGGTGTAAAGAAAACACATAGTTATTTTTTAAGAAAAAATATGTAATGCTACTCAAGCAGCTAACTTATATTGCGTTTATATGCTACGGTTTCCAAACCATCCAAAGTCATTTCGTAAAATTGTATTAATTTTCAAATAATTACAAAGTAAGAGCTCAATGTTTCTAAATGATAAAGATAGACGTGGATTATCTCTGTGAGATCATTCAGATTCAAATTTTCGCTCTGATTTGATTCATTTTAATTTTGTAAATATTTTGGCAAAACGGTAACTTTTTGAAAAAAACTCTGATATGAAAATTATTAAGTTCACTGAGTATTATCGATGAAATGACTTAAAAGTATAGTAAGCTTCCTATTGAAAAAAAAAATTATTGTTAATAACATGGAAACCAAGAATATTCATGATTACTTACTTGAGGTTCATAGCATGTGTTCTTATTTATTTTACAATTTTAATAATGGATTTTTTCCCTATCTCTAAACGAAAAAATGTGGTGAACTTTTTATTAGATTTCCCCTGTGTATGTGTGTAGAATATAATTAAAAAAACATACAGAGTACATCATTAGATACAGGACAATCCAAATTGAAAAATACTGAGACACTTTTTGATTAAAATTTTTTTTTTGCGTTTTTATACGATGTTAAAGTTAGTTAATCAGTGCTTATCTATAACGAAAAGCAGGGAAGATAGGACAGGAAATCAGAGAATAGCGGGATAATCGGGCTATAAACAGACTATAGACAGCATTTAATTAGATAATTTTAACATTGTATAAAAACGAAAAGAAAACACAGGTTAAAAAGTGGACTTTTTGATTGGGATTGTTATTTTGTATCTGATCAGTGTGCTCCGTATATGTGTGTTTTTCTGTTACATTCCGTTTAATGTTTTCAGTAAAGAGCAATTTCTCGTATGTAGAACAAATAAAAATAATCCCATGAAAATTTGTATAAAATTTTTTCTATAACGTCTCTACTGAAATATTTGGTAAAATAAAATTTGACAAGCATTTTTTAAAAATACTTTTTATATCATTCTGTAGATTTTTATAATTGATAATAATTACTCTGAAATAAAAGTCATTAAAATATATAGCGTAATAGATTTCTTGATACTAGATCGGAAAACCAGACTGTAAGCCTTTTCTAATTTACAAAATTTTGAGGGTAAAATCCTTTAAATTTTTAAATACGTTTTTAGATTGTTTTTCCATATCGTGTTCTAAAAAAGGGATACTGCTGTTTCATTTCATCCAGTTGTTTTTGAAAAAAATCACATTTTGATCGAATAGAAAGTAAACGATGATGATAATAAAATGATGATAACAACAGGAGTTATAAAAATAAATTTTATAAGAACTTATAGGATTATTTTTATTTGCTCTGCATGCATACGAGCGATTGCTCATCTTGACTGAATATCTATGTATGTTTGCATGTATGTGTCAGATTTAAATAACAATATATATAAGACTACCTGAAACATCTGTGTATGTTTGCACATGTGTGTGTCTCAAATTTAAATAACAATATATATATATATATATATATATATATATATATATATATATATATATAAGAACTACCATATATTCCACATACATACAAATCGAAATTTTTACGCGTTTCGATCGGTAAACTCTAAAGATTCACACTCACGAAATCAAGTACATCATACAAATAAGAAATTTGCTTATTCGCATAAATGACATACAGATACAGCTCTTTCATTCTATCTCTCTCTCTCTCTCTCTCTCTCTTTCTTTCTCCCGCTTCTTCTCTCTCTCTCTTTCTCACCGTTCATCCAGGCATTAGTCTGTTTGACTGTGACATTGTCTTGAAAGCGCTTCATCGGCTTAGTAGAAATCTTGGAATAGAGATTCGACATTGCCATCATCAACAACCTGTTCGATGTTAATTTTTCGTCACGTCGTAATCCACCCTCGACGCGTACGATACACACAAAACGAGTCCGAGAGTTATCGACTACGCAGCCGCCATTTCTCGCGCACAGGCGTTGTTAGAGAGGCGCTGCTACCGCCAGCGCTGCCGCTTGTCGGTCGATAGACGTTGAACGACAAGGAGAAGGATGGCACGGATGGTACGGGATAACTATTTGTGTCATTTTAGGATAAAGAATATAAAATACCACGTGATGTCATAAGCATAAATAATCGAAATAAATAATTCTGTCGTTCTTCTTTATTTTTTCTCTTCGAATTTCTCTATTTTTCTATCGCACCTTCATTAGCAAAATATTTTGTGCATATTTTGAGATATTTTATTCTTGCTATATTTACATGTATGTATTTTCAAAAGGACAGATTATTGTCTATTATCGAAGAGAAACATGAAGTGTGAAATTATTGGTTGGAATAATTGGGAACTATTCTAATTTACAAATTACGGCCAAAATATAAATAGAATCTTATTATAATTGTAATATTCATAATTAATAAAAACGCGCACGAATATGCTAAGAATGGTTTTTGAGGAAAAAAATCAATATAAGATAAAAATAAATTGACATTTAAAAAGCTGAAGAGCTAATCGTAGGTTAAAATACACTAAATATGATCTATTTTATTTATAATATTTCAAAGTCAAATTATAAAATCTGCTTTTTTAAATTTAAGTATTTTTTATTCAAGTTAAGGAATATGTTAAGAAGAAGTTTTACGAGGACAATATAACTTCCAAAACAAATATATATAAAAATATGGATATCATTGAACTTGCACAATAATATAATAATAATATGTGATAATGGCAATATTATTTTTCTAATATCGCAAAATTTCCGTTAAATTTTTTTTTGATCATTTATTAATAATTAATTACGTATATTATACGTTGAAACTATAGATTTTTACATATTACATCTAGACTGTTAACATTGACAGATAGTTATTTATAATTAGGCAAAATATATAGATTGGATTAATATACTAATTTATATTTTAATGGAAAGGTATATTTCTCACACTTTGACAGTTATTAAAATATAAGCTATTTTCATATATAGATAAATATTAATATTCTAGATTGATATTTTGCCTATTAGCACAGTAATTATATTGTGGCTGCGTTTCGATAATCACCGCCATTACTGAAAATCTATAGTTTACGCAACGTACACAGCCTGTGCCACCAGTGATTGTGCCCAATTGTAAAATATCTATTTTAACTTCACGGATAACATCGCTGTTAGCGATTTAGTATAATCATCGATATATAGAGTGCGTTCCATTTCATGCATGATGTGCATAGAAGCATGAATTTTCGTTCGGTTTCTCTTCATGTGCATGCATGATTAAATCTATTCTCAACTATATTGCTCCCTTCTTCCGATGCATAAGATCTCATAGAGTACTTCATTTCGCGAGGTAAATTACTGCGGTTTCATGCATTTGATAAATATTAACGCGCAAAATTTAATTTAATAAATTAAAATTATAGTAACTTAATGCAAAAATGCTCATTGATCCAGTTTTATGCCATGCATATACAGAGAGAAAACTGAGAGGTGTCATGGCCCGCTTTTAAGTGATCTCTGAAAGCATAGACATAGTAAGTATAGACCGAGCATACATTGTATAAGCGTTAAGCATACGAAAAGAAAGACAAAAGGTGTAAGATGAGTTTCTTTCTCTTTTCAATGCCGGAGAAGTGGGGAGCACTTCTCCACATCTTCTCGCGCCGGTTCGTCATGGAGGGGCGGGGAGATAAGGAGAAGGGCTCCCCACTTCTTCGGCATTAAAAAGAGAAAGAAACTCATCTTACATCTTTTGTCTTTCTTTTCGTATGCTTAACGCTTATACAATGGATGCTCGGTCTATATTTACTATGTCTATGTCTGAAAGCGATACGCCCTCTGTTAATCTAAAAAACGTGCACATGAACTACAAAGTTAAGTCCACGAAAGTTCTCAGAGGATAACATATAATGGTGCTATGTGCACAAAATGGCGGTAGCACTAGTGCTGTATAGCAAGGTGCTTACGTATATCAAATCAATTTTAATATAAATGAGAAATGACGAATTTGAATATATATATACAGGGTGTCAATTAAGTCCCGGGACGGCTGAATATTTTCTCATGTAAGGTATTTTTGAAAAAGGTCAAGGTCATTTCTGAAGTAATTTTCAACGAGGAATTCAACGGTGACCTTCAATTTGACCTTGAGCTTGACCTTCAAGGTTATTTGAAGGTCAAAGTGTTTTTTTTTAAATAGGAACCCCTATTTTTAATTGTATATTCTTATAGCTGACCTCGAGAGCTTTCCAAAACACTATAATAAAATATTTTTCCCTCAAGCATTTATCGAGTTATGATGCTTCAAATCATTTCTTAATTTTACATAAACCGTAAAATATCTTGTAAAATATTCACTTTTCGATTATTTTACCTTAATACTTTTATGTACAAAATAATGAGAGGAATCAATTGGTTTAAAGAAAACATATAGTTGTTTTTAAGAAAAAATATGTAATTTGCAATTAACAATTCCATATTTTTTCTTAAAAACAACTGTATGTTTTCTTTAAACCAATTGATTCCTCTCATTATTTTGTACATAAAAGTATTAAGGTAAAATAATCGAAAAGTGAATATTTTACAAGATATTTTACGGTTTATGTAAAATTAAGAAATGATTTGAAGCATCATAACTCGATAAATGCTTGAGGGAAAAATATTTTATTATAGTGTTTTGGAAAGCTCTCGAGGTCAGCTATAAGAATATACAATCAAAAATAGGGGTTCCTATTTAAAAAAAACACTTTGACCTTCAAATAACCTTGAAGGTCAAGCTCAAGGTCAAATTGAAGGTCACCGTTGAATTCCTCGTTGAAAATTACTTCAGAAATGACCTTGACCTTTTTCAAAAATACCTTACATGAAAAAATATTCAGCCGTCCCGGGACTTAATTGACACCCTGTATATATATATATATATATATATATATATATATATATATATAGAGAGAGAGAGAGAGAGAGAGAGAGAGATAATAAAATTTATTTATCATAGAAATATATTTAATATACATAAACACCTTACAGAATTCGTGTTACGGATATTTCGTGCACATAGCACGGAATATATATATATATATATATATATATATATATAGTGTACGCGGGAGTTATGTGAGCAAGCGAGAAGATAATAAGGAGGAGCGAAATGGCAATAAGAGCGAGCGAGGAATAGAACGAGCAACGAAGACTCGAAAATCGAGTCTTTCTTGCAGTCTGGCATACTATTTTTCTCTCGCTCGCTCCTATTACTATTTTGCTTGCTCCTATTATCTCGCTCGCTCCTATTACTATCTCGCTCGCTTCTGTTATTACTTTCACTCTTACGTACTCATATATTGTCATGTTCATCTCGTTATCAAGTCTGCCGCTGGCAAGTGGCCGATGACAAACTAATGAAAATTTTGCGATTAAAATAACATCAAACACAGTATCAATCGGACAAATGTAGTTAAATATATAATCAAAATTTTTATTATCAGACCAATTAAAAATTATCCGATTTACGTCGTGTTTGATATCATTTTAATCGCAAGAATCTCAATAATTCATTAAAATTACTTTCAAATAAAATAAAAAATAAAAGTTTCAGTTTTTATTTTATAAGATGTTTACATTCGCGAGGAAGCCGAGTCCGCTTATCTTTCCGACCTGTCAAGTGTGAGAGCGACAGCGGGTCGAGAGCGAGCTAGATGATCTATCATCAAAGAATTCCGAAGTCTCTTACAATTGGCTTCTTCACTTTCTCTCTCCATTCGCAATTTACGAGATTATAAAATAAAAACTGAAACTTTTATTTTTTATTTTATCGATATGAAAGTAATTTTAATGAATTATTGAGATTTTTGTGATTAAAATGATATCAAACACGACGTAAATCGGATAATTTTTAATTAGTCTGATAATAAAAAGTTTAATTATATATTTAACTACATTTATTCGATTGATATCGTGTTTGATGTTATTTTAATCGCAAAATTTTCATTATTTAATTTGTCATCACCCGCTTGCCAGCGGCAGACGATAACGAGATGAACATGACAGTATATGAGTACGTAAGAGTGAAATAATAACAGAAGCGAGCGAGATAGTAATAGGAGCGAGCGAGATAATAATAGGAGCGAGTGAGAGAGAAATAATATGCCAGGCTGCAAGAAAGACTCGATCTTCGAGTCTTTGTTGCTCGTTCTATTCCTATCTCGCTCGCTCTTACTGCCATTTCGCTCCCTCTTATTATCTTCTCGCTTGCTCACATAACTCTCGCGTACACTATATATATATATATATATATATATATATATATATATATATATATATATATATACAGGGTGACCCATTTTAATCTCTCCACCTAATTTTCTCGAAACCTAAGCAAGATAGAGAAAAATGTTTTAGACAAAAGTTGTATGGTTTCAAGGGGGACATAAGATGGTGTCATTAGTTTGATCTTGAAGAGCCACCTGAAGGACACGCGAAGGTCAGCTCCAACTTTTTAAATAGGACACCCTATATGCTTTTACATATTCTTGTAGCTCATCTCAAGAGCTTTCCAAAACACTATAATTAAGTTAGTTTTCATTAAGTACTTTCCAAGTTATGAGGCTTGAAATCATTTTTTAATTTTACATAAACCGTAAAATATCTTGTAAAATATTCATTTTTCGATTAGTTTACCTTAATACTTTATGTACAAAATAATGAGAAGAATCAATTGGTGTAAAGAAAACTCATAGTTGTTTCGAAAAAAAATATGTAATTTGCAATTAACAATTACATATTTTTTCTTAAAAATAACTATGTCTCCGCACATAATACGGAACAAAACCAGAAATTGTGCACATTATATGTTACCCTCTGAGAACTTTCGTGGACATTGGCTTTGTAGTTCATATCCACGTTTTTTAGATTAACAGAGATCGCTTTCAGGGATTGTAGGGATTGGGTATCGAACACATATATTTATGCACGCCGTTCAATAATAGAAAATCAGTCTTT